CCCAGCTCTGAGGCTGACTTTATTTCTTCTCTTTTTTCTTCATCGCCTTCATTTTGTTTCTTTTTTTTCAACTGAACTTTTTTTTTTCTGTAAAACCTAAAATTAAAATGTATTCATTTAAAATCCCTCAAATATCTTCAACCTCTTGTTAACAAACTTCATCCAGGATCTTTGGTATGACGGCTAAAGTTAGCTCAGGAGCTATCAGCATCACACATGGTTAGCTAGCTTATCAGAGGACTCAGCAACATTGTTGACGCTAACGCTAACGCTACTTTACACCTGAATCTCCTGCTACACAATCAAACACAGTTTTCCATCGTTGGCAGGTGGTTATGGTTATTGATACTGTTGGGGGCGCTAACGCGACCTTCCGTCATCATCATCAATACTTTAAATTGTTACGATGCCACATCAAACATTCTACTCCGAGTTTTACTGTGACCTAAGACTGTAAGCAGTTGAGTTGTCCACCAGTGGGCAGCGTTCTGCAGTTATGACCTCGTTATACATTGTTTTTATTTTTTGTTTTTTGAAGGGAGTGAAATAAATGTTCACCAAAGTTTTGTGGATTTTTGTAGGTTCTGGGACTATAATCAGAAACAGTGCCCTCTTCTGGACACTCTGGAGCATCACTCAGAGTTTGTCTGTGGACTGGACTTCAGCCTGCACGTGCCAAATAAGGTAACGCATGAACAGAAATCTCCACTAGGGGCAGAACAAGGATTGGGGGTGTTAGCATCCTCCTCCTGTTCCACGATGATGATGATGATGACGACGACGACGATGACGACGACGATGTTGATGAGGATGATGATGTTGATGATGCCGATGATGACGATGGTGCTGATGATGATGATGATGATGTTGATGATGACGATGATGATGAAGATGATGATGATCATGATGATGATGGTGATGACGGTGGCGGCGGCGATGTTGATGATGATGATTATGATGATGATGATGATGGTGATGTTGATGATGATGACGACGTTGTCTTCCCTGGAGCCTCTGACCAGTGACACAACTCCTCCATAAGGAGCTGCAGTCAGGAGGTGCCAGCCAATCAGGAATGTCACTGTGTGTGTGTGTGTGTGTGTGAATGTGTGTGAACTTATCAGTGTTCTTCCAGCTGTTTCTTCTGCAGCAGAAAATAAAGTAAAATACAAATCCACAAAGAGTGACATCAAAGAGAGACGAGGTCAAAGTCTGGACATTAAAGGACATTTAAGACGGGGGGGGGGCTGTGAGGAGGTGGTCTCTGTGTGAAACTGATGTTTGTGTTTGTCACGTTGACAGGTGGTGGACTGTTCCTGGGACGAGACCCTGAAGATCTACACTCCTGCCTGTCTCTCTGCACCGACCGAGAACCACGGTTTTGACACCAGGACAACCTGACCGTGGTTGACCTGGAGAAAAACTGATCAGCTGTCAGTCAACACCAGGGTTGACCACTAGGTGGTGATCGAGCTTTGAACCAGTGGATTTCACTCATTTCTAACCAGTCGTCCGGGTCATGGAGGACTGGACGTGGACTTTCTCAAAGAAGACGTCTCACCTCTCATCGTACCGCAGATATGTCCTCTGGGTGTGAACAAATAAAGCTACTTCAGCTCCCCCTGCTGGGCGGGGCCTTGGGGTCAACTCTCATTAAGAGTCTGATGGGTCGAGGTGAAACTGGTAAGTGTCTGAGTCCACCTCCTCTGATGGTTTCTCCAGGTTGACAAAAATGGCTTCTTTTACTCCTCTCTCAAACCATCTGTCCTCCCTGGCCAACATGTGGACATCGTTGTCCTCAGAGGAGTGTGTTTTGTCCTTGAGGTGTATGTGAACAGCTGAGTTCTGTCCTGAGGATTTGCCCCCCCCTCCCCCTGTTCCTTGGAGTCTTGTCTTTGGGAGGAACCCGTTTGTGTCTCAGGGTGTTCCCAGGTCCTCATTTCTAATCACTGTCTGTCCAATAAACGGTCAAACTGGTCAGAGTCTTTGGTTTCACTGAAGAAGTGAAGGAAAGACCAGGTCTTCAGGTTCTTCAGGTTCTTCAGGTTCAGAAAGATGGTCTGTGAAGACAGGTGGATGCTAACAGCTTTTAGACCAGAGTTTGGTTATCTTACGTCTTACTGTTAGCTCCAATGTTTACCTAAATATTCACTGTTTATTGTTTATAGAAGGTTCTATCATTCCATCCAATCCCAGGTGTCAGTGGGCGATGGTGCGGTACTATTGTAAAATAATCGAACCTCCCACTTGGCTGGTCCAATGCTATAATGTGAATGATCTCTATTAATTATCTTTGATAGCATCAGATAGCACGTTTTTGAGCTAGCTCAGGCTAACTGAGCTAACAATGAACACAGACATGAAGAGAGTCAGGTTGGTACAGTAAATAATCAACAATGTTAAACTACAATGTTCTACAGCTGAAAAACTTCTCGTTCTCCCAGGTCTCAGATGAATCTCCTCGGCCTGATCATCCCTCTACCATCTCTGACCTTTGGCTCATTAGCTGTGCCCCGACAGAACCATGATGTCATCATATCAACGACCTCCTGACCCCGTTGGATGCGTCATTATTATTTGTCCTCTGATAAAACTAAGTGGTGAGTTGACACAGCAGGAAGTGACCTCATCACTCATGAATGTGGAGTTCAAGCGTGGAACATTCCTCCCACAGATGCTTCATATCTCAACTATGAGACAGCAGCAGAACGCCCCCCTCTGGAGAGGAGAGGGCTCGGACCAGCGTCCCGTTGTCTGTTAGTGTAGAACAGGCGGCCGTGAAGACCTGACCTCACCTTCTGGAGACGCAGACAGAGTTCCATCTGTCAAAGAATCCAAACTATTTGTCTTTCAATGTCATTGAAGACAAAAGGTGGACCTCTGCGGCCCCGCCCTCGGTGAAGACCTGGTTCAGGAGGGCTGGGTTTCCTTGCGTTGGAAATTGTTCTTCAGCGCCGGAGCTCTGGTTCCTGAATGATGATGTTCTCCTCCAGCAGCTGGAACCGGACCAGAACCGATTCACATCAGCCACTGGAACACAAACTCAGTGTTAGGGTTAATAAAACTAGACCACAGCTCCCCCAGTGGATGAACCTGTGTGTGTTTTTCCTGCTTGTTCTTTTTTTGTCTCCGTCTTAAATTACTCTGCAGCCGAATCTCTATTAACTCTGCTGTTACATGGAGTAATAATGGAGGTGTGTGTGTGTGCGCCCCCCCAGAGCAGCCTCTAATCCTCGGCCTCCCCATAATCTCCTCCCATTATTCCACTTGTTTTAATTTCTCCGTCTCTATGTCTTAATTGGAAGCCGGCAGTAGGAGCAGAGGAGGCGGTGGTGGGAGCGGGGGAGGCGGCGTCTCCTTCCCTCGTGGTCCTGAAGCCGATTTCCTGATGAAATGTTTCAATTAAAAGCCGTCTTTTTCTCCAGGCCGGCTGTGAGTCAGGGCGAAGGCGATAAGGTCCACTTGGTTCAGTCTCTGCTGCTGCCCCCTGGTGGCCAGAGAGGAAACATGCTGAGCTCTGTTGACTTGAGGCCATCAAGCCTGCTCTGATATCATGACACACACACACACACACATATAAATATATGTTGTTGTCGACGCGGGGAGACTTTACTGAAATATTGTCTTTTTGTCTTTTTCTTTTTTTTCTTTTGTCTTTTTCAGAGTTTTTTTTTATCTTCAACAGTCTGAAGCTTCTTATTGGTCAGTGTTGGAACAGGCTGAACCAAGACCTCCCCCTTTTCCCCCTCACCCTTTCCTCTCTCTCACTTTCACAGCTTCTCTCTC